GCGTCCAGCTGCGCTGCGCTGCGCTGCGGCTGCCGGGGGCTCCTGGCCCAGAGAGAGGCTTGGGCGGCCGCGGAAGCCAATCAACCAGAGAGCCCCGCCCCCACACCAACCCCAAACGGCGAAGCCCACAGGAGGGCTACTGACCCACTAGGAGCGGAAGCACAGGATATCAAAAACGCTTTCGTTCTCAGCCAAAATATCGCGTTCAAGTCACGCACGGCAGCACACTTAGTGGAAGATGCCTCCCTGGACTACGTTGCGTAACTGCATGACAAGGACAAAAGAGTGAAAACAAAGCCCAAGAGACTCGATTTTGGCGTATTTTGTATCGTCCGAAAATTGCTTTGACATTCAAAAGAAGAGAGTTGGATATACCTGCTTTCCAGCCGAAGCAGAGGCAGTTATGAAGAGAATCAACCGATTGTGGGAACAGAAAATATACATCGCTTGACGACATGCACTTGACATACCTGTTAGAAAAAATTCAAAGTATTCCTTCACTTTATAAACTACTTAATATTTTCACACAAATTTTCCCCCAATTGTATGGTACGAATTTTTATTTTCCCTAATAATAGTCCAAAGACCGAAGGGTCTTTTGTTCACTTGGCACCATGTGCAAGTAAACGTAAAACTTTTGTTTTTAATTATTTAGAAATGTCTCCGGGGTACATTCTTCAACAGGGCTGAATAAAGTACCACGAGACCCAAAACTCATAACATTTCTAGAGAATCTTCACTGTACGAAACTGTTTCAGTATTTTGTAAACAATTGGTATTGAATGACTTGTATATTACAAAAGAAGGCAATGTCAAACAGAATTATCAATAATTTATCGAACTTTTTCTTTACATTTATATTATGTATAAGCTATCTGGTTGTGCTAAAGTCGACTTTCTTACGAATATACTAAAATGAAGTGTCTAAAGAATTTATCGGTAACCCTTCGAACACACGTGTACGGCGGGTTGCGGTACCCCTCATACCTCTACCTCCGTCTTGTGTAACCAAAACACATGAACTATCAACAATCGAAAAGTGTGCCAACATAATATGTACGTGCATTTTTTACATGTGACAGATTAAAGTGTTCAGCAAATACATTATAATACAATAATTTTGGCACTCTCAGTGAAACAGTTATTTATTCACTATAGATAATATCATTGATTTGTAATAAAAACTGATATTTGCAGCAGATCGTCTGAGTTCATTAACAATTAGAACGTCAATTTAATGTAGCATATGTTTTAAATTGTATATAAATCGTCATATGTGAACTCTGAAAATTCACTGAAGTCCCGACATGTTATTAGAAATCGTCTTCAAGTATATAGATAGTATGAACTTATGGAATAAAGTACGCTTTTTTGAGAAAATTGGTGCTATTTAAGAAGCGAATTTGCTCCCAAATAACTTGACATTCTTCTACAAAACTTCAGAACTAGTCATCAAACTTGAAACTCCATGAATAATTATATTGATACAATTTGTTGAAAAAATAAATTATGTTTCATCTTTCTCATCAGTTCTTAAATTCAATTTATAACTCCCATTTTGAAAACATTCAAAATTTTACCTACAAATATGACTAACGTGTTTATCTCCCTGTAGGGAACATTTTTTTATTATTATTTTTAGCCATCAAATGTCCCGTAAGGGGCAGTTGGCCTCATGGTACAGGAAATTAGATTCTACACGTGTTGCCTTTTGGTTTAGTTTATGGTTCTTATGGAGTTTATGGTTACTTTTGAACATGAGTTTTTGTTTTTGTTTTATAATTGGAATTTAAACAACACAATTGTACAATCTAATGTTCTAGTAATAATTAAAATTTTGGTTGTTAATTTACATATATAATGAGTCCTATAATATTAATGAGAGCGTATTACTAGCCATTAATACTGGATAATTAAAATGCTTCGGAAGGAGACGTAAATATCGACGAGGATTGCGTTAAAGTAGCGCATAATTAAAGCCGAAGTGGAAGGAGTTCAAGGAGCGAGTGCAATGCAGTCCCTTGGGCCGACACCGCCCCAACAGTCAATTTACAACTTTTGTTTCGTTTCTTTTCTTCCATCGCCTGAATATACTCCAAGTTCTCCACTCCCACTGCTTTCCTACTTTCCGACTTGCCCCAACCTTTCCCATTATGCCTGCCTCTAGCTTTACCTCGGCGCAGTGTCTCGCTGTTGACTGTCCCTGCCTCACCCACCCCACCACCTCCACCGTCACCCCATCCCTCCTTCCACCCCCGCCCGCTCTAATCTGCCTCATCAATTACATCCGTCGCACTGGCGCAACGGTCGGCCAGTGATCGGCATTTGTCTGGCCTCGATCCATACAATTACTCGCTCTTTTTATCCGCCTACTTTGTCCCCGCCAGATTGCGTTCACTTTTAAATTAATGAAGCCACCGCTGCGTGGGCATTTATTCCGGGAGTATGGCTTACAGCTCCGTGTTTATTTGAATTAGCTCTGATATAATGTCTAACTGAAATTCCAGACATCATCTTGGCTGAAAACAAAGAGAATGTGAACACTATGACATTGTTGTGATATCACTTCATGCTGACAATAACAGTGATACCTGAGATGAATTCGCCCAGTGGACACACCACATCCTCTCACAGAATATTTGAGCAATAATATACACGTATTAATAATATTAAGTAATTAGTACTTTATTACAGTAATTATTATTTTAATTATGTGGTGTATTTATTCAGGGTAATAATGCTAAACATAGCTTTGTTCGATATGAACACCAAAGCTGATCGAAAGGATGTTCTTCAACAAAATACAAATCACAGGAATAACTTGATGTATTATTATTATTATTATTATTATTATTATTATTATTATCCTAGTCTGAATTGTACAATTATACATTATTAGTCACTGGTTTTCTATATTACACTAGCCTGAATGCGCTTCCACTCTTCTCTGCCTTTTGCCACTCTGGACCACAATGCCCCCCTGTCTTTCCGAAGCAATCTTCCCATCTCGTTTCTTGTCGGCTTTGGTGCCTCCAGCCAACCCGAGGTTCCCACACTGTTTCTGTTTTCACCCAACGTCGTTGCTCCATTCTCATGAGATGGCCTCCCCATTTCCATTTGGTGTCCGTTGCCCGCATCACCATATCCCGGAAGCCGGTTCGTTTTCGAATTTCGGACGTGCTGCACACTGTAGTTCAAGTCATCTAAAAGTTTTAGCCAGCAAATTAAAGTCCATAAGAATGACTATTTCCTATATTTTTTTAGGAATTACGTTACATAAATATTTTGACACGTAGATTTCATGGTTTTTGAAGGCTGACCATTGCGGTCCAATGCCTTCACCGGCTTTGCCATCGCGGTCGGTTTAAATGTCAGCCGTGAGCTCTACCCCAAGTCTGCATTTAAAGCAGGCAATTTCGTTCTGAAGAAAATGTTTTACTATTTTATTATTTACTAAACTTTTACATATTACGCCATTAAAAATTAAAACATCATTTTTTTATAATTCTTTTGAGTGTGGGACTTTTGGAAGCAGAGTGTAGGATGTAGACTAGGTTTTCTCGGGCAGCACAGCAAAATGATTTCGTCTCTTTTCGTCATAACTGAATATTTTCTTCAATCTTCTTACTACTATCGGTAAAACTGTCCGAACCATTACGAATTCCGAGAATTCTTCCACACTCAGACGCGACTTAGTTTGTCGGACGCTGCTATCTTTCCTTATCCGACGCTATCTACAGTGTTCATTCCTACGAGGCTATAAAGTGAAATCTAGTCAGAACTTACGGAACCAAAAGCCGACGATGCCCTGATAGACCTGACACAAATACTGTAACTAGTGCATTCTCGTGGAGATACTTAGAGCTACTTCAACAAGCTGTTCTACCGAACGGGACATCTGACCCGATGTCGAGAAACAAAATGTCCCACAGGTTCCGACAAAGTATTCTCATGTCAGTGAGAGAAAACAGTGGACTACTGAGGGTTTAAGTTTCATAAGTAATTCGTTTTTAAAGCGAGTAAAAAGTGTACTGAAAGTTTTTTCTAGTGTAGAAAAGATATTTAATTGTACAGTTTGTTATTAATCACTTGGCACCGCCCTTTTGAAGCAAATCGAGTATTTCTTTCTATTCAAGAACCATCGTCCAAGAACACAATCGTCGTGGTAAGCATATGCGTCGTACAAGCATGAATAACTTATTATTACAGAAATACGTCTTCATCAGCTTGTCATGATAGCTGAAAAAGCAACATATTTTTAGAAGAAATGTATTCTGTCAAATACACAAAATCCAATTTCTGATGAAGATATCTCCTTTTGTTATCTCTAAAGAAAATCGTTTTGCACTAAAATATTTACTTGAGAAAATAACATCCAAATTAAACAGATGAAGTTATGATTTTGAATTGAAGTATTGAAGTACAATTATCGTCGTACTATATTTATTATTTCTCCTACACTGACCAATATCATTCGCCTTTAGTTGGCCTTTATTCATTCACAGGACACGAGAAGATATTTTTAAAGTTCGATGAAAAAACCTTTATTAGTCAACAATACAATAGTTATTTTTTGCAATTGCTAAAAGTTAAATAATATTTAAATCGAATACTGTATGAGTCCGTTTCATCATGATAACAAACTTTCTTTAGGACCATTTTCAAAGTACCGTGTTCAAAAAAACACAACAAACAATCACTTCTATAATCGTACAAATTTATGAATGCAAGAATTACTTTCTTCGAAAATGCAAATTCAATACTTGTAGAGCACGTCCACAAAAACTCTTTTTTTTTACAGATTGCCATATATGCGACACGTTCTCTATACTCCGTTTTATTTATAACGGCATTTGACCAGCGGTATAATCAGCTGTTACGGTGTCATCCAATGAGGAACTTGAACGTCACCAATGTGACGTCACTGAAGTGACGTTGACGCTCCGGATTGGATGGTACCAAAACAGCTGACTTACCTCGTCCTTGCCCTGTGGTTGCAGTGTTGCCAGACTTCGTGGCGCGCGAGATGATCCGGGACATCGCGCGCGAGGAGGAGAAGGGCGCGTTCGTGCCCAGCCAGTTCCACAAGATCTACATCCATCGCTACGAGAACGTGTCCATCCTCTTCGCCGATATCAAGGGCTTCACGGGTGAGCGCAACCGCCTCCGCCTCCCTCTCCATCCACGTGGGGCGGATGGCTGGATGAAGGGCAACAGCGCGCAATGCGGAGAGTGCATTTTGTGTTTGAAAATCCCTACTGCTCATTGAATCCAAAAATTCTTAATTCATACATCGTCATTTCTCATTTATTCATAAAGCTGTATTTATTTTCAACTTTTTGACCGTTATGTTGTGTATTTAAATATCAAAATATATATTTTAAATTAGACTGTTTCTGACAGCGCAAACTAAAAAGCAATATTGATGTTCAAGTAGTTGCATCATTGGTCGAATACTCTTTCAAGGTATGAAAATAATTATGTTTTCTAATACGCGCGTTTGGCAATGAGATAATCTTGATGACTATTAACTACTTCGTTCATACCATTTTGTCAAATGCACATTATCACATTATGCGAGTCCTAATAGACATCAACATGATGTCCGGTAACGTTTCTATTTATAGGCATATAAACTACTTAACAGTCACTACGATTTGGTAATAGCACCTTAGTTATGCCACATTAAGGCGGAGGTGGAGGCGCGTGGCGAGTGATATTGGCAAAGTGACGCGGCGCTCAGGAAGCTGACCTCTGACAACGAAGAGAAGAAACTTCTGATCACTGCGGAGGCAGTTATTCCTCTGTTCCTCTGTAACCTGTTCCTCTGTAACAACGGCGTTGTCTATGTCCAGTGTAACATCCATAACCTGCAAGTATAAGCTTACACGTTGAGCGTCACTAAGTACAGATGCATCGCCAATGCCCTGACATATGTAGTGCTTGGTATGACGTAAGAAAAAGACACGGAGAAGTATTTACAAAGCTAAATAATTTCATAGGTAAATTTTTAAGAATCGTAATTGCTGTATTCCTCCTTTTATATCATATCAAAGAATTATCTATCTTCAGATGATGAATTACACTCGAACTTAACGAAGATGGACATTTGCATTTTGTTAAATAGCTTGAACCCCTATTTAATATTAAGCGTAAATGATATGCACGATTAGAAATGAAATTTTACTTAACTGCCATTCCATCTACAATTAATTACTGACGATAGTCACAAGGCATTTCCCTTTTCGCGTCCATTTCAATTTGTGTGCTTTTTCATTTTCGTGTTGATTCATACGCAACAACATCATAGTCGATTTCTAAAAATACTCCAGCAGCACGCTAAGTTTGGAGTAAGGCCTCGAACTTCCATCACATTTTAGCTGATTTAAACAAACAAACAAACAAACAAACAAAAACGGTCTCCGCATTTCTGTGCTCCAGTTGACCTATATTTAATGGTGGATATCACCAAAAAAATTGAGAAATATTTTACCAAAATATCTGTGAGAATAGATTGTATTAAAAATATAGATTCCAGAAAAAAAATAAGGGACACACAAAACTTTATAGAGTATTTATTTCAGCGTAATGCAATGATGTTGCAGCTTTGCTTTTAAGGGTGTCATTGCAAGTAGCAAGTTGCATCATCAGAGCTCCTGTTCTGATACTGAGTGAAACTTTACGAGGAGAGTTCGTCTTTCGCCGCGCCCGCAAGGGAGCACAGCGCGGAGTGGCTTTCAGTGCGGCGAGGTGACGCGCGGTGTGCGTGTGTTGCAGCGCTGGCCAGCCGCTGCAGCGCCGAGCAGCTGGTGCGGGTGCTAAACGACCTGTTCGCGCGCTTCGACAAGCTGGCCGCGGTGAGTGCACCTCCCCCGCGCCCGTGCACTCCACACCCTTCCCCTTGCGCTCGGCCCGGCGCTGCGCCGCACAGTGGGCACAAGCAACACTCGATGGGGTGGCACGTGTGCTGGAAATGCGTAGAATACATTTCCGTAAAAAACATCGACAATTAAAAATGAAACATTTTCAACCTCTATTTATATTTTTTGGAACTGCATATACACGCCACATAAGTATGATTGGTCAAGTCAATTTCAATCAACCATTAATTCATGTTAAGAAGTTACAGTGGATGATTTTAAGCATTTTGTTGGAGGGTTTTTCGACCTCTTCAGTTAGATAAATAATTTTGCATTGAATGGGCAATAACTCATATATTAGCAACATTATAACAACGCCAATTCACAATTAACATATTGCAAAGTTCCTGAAAATGCGATATAGTGTTACTACGACATGCTATTGCCAAATAGTATGGCCGGAGAAGAGCGTATTTTATGTGCTCTATCTGGCAACACGTCTAAAATCACCCATCTATGTAACTTGTTGGCTTGTATTATTTATTAAAAATTACGTGTACAATCGATATGAAAAACAATGCAGTTTTGGTCACGATTTCACTCAAAATTCTGCAAAAACTATCAAATATTTTCAAAAATATTGTACATGACCATATTTGATGATCAAATTTTTAAAAAGACATTTTATTAATAAAAACTCTCGTTCTTCAAAAATGTGGTATCACAACACCGATTTTCTTTTTAATTTGCAATCAAACTTCAGATGTTTTAAGGAAAATCGAACCTGCGCTGTCTCTATAAGAGACTATGACAGAAAAATAAAGAAAAAAATTGGATACATTTTTGTAAAACTATGAGAAATGTTACCAAAATATTCAAGTCATAGAGTACCTCACGTTGTCGATGTCCGCGTGTGTGCTCCCGCTTTTCCACGCGGACAAATCTGTTGCATTTACCCGCGTTTGTATTCGTGCCCGCTTCTGATCTACATAAGTGTATACTATATACACACGAGTGCATACATATCATACATTACATACATTCACTGTATTACGCAGATACCAACATAAGTTATCTTCAAAGGTTTCCTTTTCCACATTTCAAATTACATTCTCACCTATGCACAATAATAATGGTAGATGTCGACAAGTGTGTCCCTCAAATGTACCTGTCGACCCTATCCATCAAACATCTTCCAATCCAATCCTTTCCATATACCAGCTCTCCAAGCGCCCCACGATAGAGGCAAATACCGTCAAACGACATCTTCAAATGTTCACTTAACACCGAGCATGACAGACATACACCGCCAATCATCACTCTCAAATTCACCCGTTTCAACCCATCCACACACATACACATCAACCGTGCGCCCAGTGCTAGACATACACCGTCAAACGTCATTCCCAAATTCACCTGTTTCTACCCATTCACACAAACATACACCATGCGCCCAGCATGCCAGACATACACCGCCAAACATCACCCTCAAAGTCATCCGTTGCTACCCCTATATACACATACACACCGTTGCACCATGCGCTCAGTGTGCCAGATATACACTGCCAAACATTACCCTCAAATTCACCTGTTTCTACCCATCCAGGGGTACGCCACACACACACACACACACACACACACACACACACATGCAGCATGCGGCCACACACAGGCCTACACCGCCAAGCATCACCCTCAAATTCACCTGTTTCTACCCATCCAAACTCATACACCGTGCGCTCAGGGTCCCCGGGGTACGCCGCCAAACATCGCACTCAAATGCTCGTTTCCACCCCTACACACATGATGAGGCAGCGCCCGAGGCACACCCATCCACCCGAGCGCCCAACGGGCAGTGCGCGAGCGCGGAGTGTTGAGTGTCGGTGGCGCTGCCCCAGGAGACGCACTGCCTGCGCATCAAGCTGCTGGGCGACTGCTACTACTGCGTGTCGGGGCTGCCGCGCGAGCGGGCCGACCACGCGCGCTGCTGCGTGGAGATGGGGCTGCACATGATCCAGGCGATCGCCGCCGTGCGCGACCACACGGGCGTCGACCTCAACATGCGCATCGGCATCCACTCGGGCTCCGTGCTGTGCGGCGTGCTGGGCCTGCGCAAGTGGCAGTTCGACGTGTGGAGCTACGACGTCACGCTCGCCAACCACCTCGAGTCCGGCGGCATCCCGGGGTGAGCTCGCGCGCCGCCGCCTCGCACAGGATATTTGGAAATTTGGATTCGAGGTGTGGATCCGTGGGGAGAGAAATGAGGACCCCCCACAAAAAATTCAGCAACTCTTAATTTTAACTTGTCACTTAACTTTCAGGCAAACGTATTTTCGGATGATCATTTAAACGAGTAAAAGCTTAGCGCAGCACGAGCTGAGGCATTTGATAAAATCTGTAAAATGACACATTCGAGCAAACATTTTGAATTTCCCCTGCCAAAATTTGTTTCTGGATCCGCCCCTGGTAACACAGTGAATATTCCTTCCGGGCGCGGCAACTGTTGTGGTCATTAGTCCCGGAAGTGTAGTACATGTTGTATCCTGGGAGAGGTGGTGTATCTTCTTCGCTGACACGTCAGATCCGACGCCGACCCATACGTCGGCTCGCGGGGTTTTCGGTAGCGAAGAATTATACTTGTAATCCTTATCCTGTATGGCAATGTTTTATTTGTTTATATTTCAGATATGATCCCGGGTATCTCCCCACGGTCCGGACAAGTTCTAAGCTGCCAAATGGGTTTTTGACATGTGTTGTAGTGTAGTGCATGTAGGTGTGTGTGTGTGTGTGTCTAACGGGAGATAATAGGGTGGAGAAGATGATGGAAAGATTGCGGGTGGCCCGTGGCTGTTGTTTTAGGGTACTGCCCCTACTTCACGGAGGAATCACTAAATTACCGATCAGAGCAACCGACCGCTAATTTTTTTCTCCAGACAATAGTTGAATTTAATTCAGCCATGCAGCTTATGCCAAAACCTAGCCCCAAAACCTAGAACCTCATGAACGATATATTCTACGGGGGAACGTGTAGAGAAAAATACATAAATGGAGGAAAATGTTCACTTCACAATTTAATTGTGTTATAATTTATTGCACATTATGAGGATATTTTTAAAAAATTATATCAAAACAGATAAGTTTATATCTTACCTTTACTACATTACTTTCTCTTTAACCTTTCAAAAGACAGAGAGCAAATGCACCTTCTTCAAAACCCTCTCCCACTGCAGTCCCGGGACGGTGGGAGTCCAATTGAAGGTTGCGCTGATCAATAAGAGAAATTACTTTACCGGGACAAATGTGTTGGGAACAAGCGTTGGAAAAAGATAGTTCTCCTTCATTAATACGATCAAACGCCCACAATTTGCAAAAAATGCAATATGCATAAAAATACATCAACAAAACTATACAGAGTTCACCCCTAAAAGTACCCCTACGAGTACTACGAGATTTTTACTTATCTTGATCAATGACGTTGATCTGAAAGTGTGTCCTTCAAGATAACATATCCCATTCCAACTCATTAATAAATATTACTAATTTTCCAAAATAAATCTCGTTAGGACTCAAGTAGTCGGTTTCGGTATTCTGAGCAATATACGTCATTCAGTTATGAATTATCCTATGGATTAACAGAATCAATTCATTCTCGGCTAAAGTACTTGTACTTGTATGTAAAAAAGATTTATGCTATTTTTCTTTATGCACACGATATCTGAACTACAAGTAAACAAAACATTGCTATATAGGCGAAGGATTACAAGTTTAATTCTTCCCTACCGCAACATTTGTACCTTCGAGCTAATAAGTCATTGAAGAGAACAAAAAATCTAATGAAATATGTGTTAAATTAAATGAAGAAGAAATTGCTTATATGTACCAAAGTGTTATTTCACTTTAAGACTCAGTGACTGGCGAAATTCTTGTAAGTTGAATTTTTATTAAATGAAAACATAGGTTTCTGAGTAAAACATTATCTACGGGTCATTTCCGTAAAAATCCTTCACTACACCATTTATCATCTTTGGTGTTTGGTCCGGAGGTAAATATCGTAAATGTATAAAGTTTACAAAACTTCGTTACCCCGCTTATTTTTATGTTCTAAACCGCTTACATAAACGTGTGGCTCCATTGCATTCATCACCATCTTGAGGTGTTTGTATTAAAACGGAAATTATCTTCTATGTGTATATGAATTTCGCCATATACACTCCACTTACATTTTGTTCCCCTTCCTAATAGAATAATTCTATGTACCTTCGCGCAGGCGCGTGCACATCTCGAAGGCAACGCTGGCGTGCCTCAACGGGGAGTACGACGTGGAACCTGGCGAGGGCCATACGCGGGACCCCTACCTGAAGGTGAGTCCAACCGCTTCAACAATAGCCCTTCCCGCTCCTTTTTGACGTCCTCGGTGCTCCTATGCACTCATACTACGATCCTACAGTTATGAATTGTGAACTTTGAAATGTTTGCATACCTTCCTTGCTTCTATCGCACATTTTTCTAAACACTATTGACAGATGTCGACCGAGCAATGCTGTATTCATTCTAAGATTTTTTGGACTTGTATTCGAATAATGTGCTTGAGTACCGTACATGTGTAACTGTGGCGCTGAATCCGTAATTATGCGATATTGTCAGCCTTTTATATCGTGATCTTGACAGCCTCCTAAATACTTTCCAGTGTATAAATAAATACATTAGTTTACTTTCCTAATACGACTTCAGGTAGATGGTGTACCACTTCGTTTGTTGTTTGTTTTCCAAAAACATTTTAGATTATTTTGTGCACTTTCTGGGCAACCATGAAAGGTTAATTGATACTTCACGAAAACTCTCTAAAACCTGCAGAAAAAACACCAAAACGTGCACACATGCAATAAAAATATCAATACTTTGCAAAACGCCTAAAAACTTTATCCACTTATGAAATTATTTTATATTTCGAATGTGATAATTAAGGTGAATGAAATATTATGTTTGTAGTGATTTTATTATAATTGAGTGTGTAGATATTATTTAAATAGACCATATTTGACATTTTACATATTATTCGCACACATTAGTAAATTAGCATAAAAATACAAAACGAATAATACAAAAACTTCGGACTTCATTTACATTTGTGTATGTACTGACCCTCACTCTGACGTAATCTAAAAGCACTCAAAAACTGCCTTTATTGTCTCTCGATTTCGTTCGGCAATATCTGTTGAGAGAAATGCGATGAATTTGAAACCTAGTACATTTTGAAATAAGCTTCGCGACCGGATGTTAGTGTCAAAAGTGATTGGGGCATGCTCGATCTCGTATGTGCAATATCGTGCAGTAACAAAACAGGCAATTTCGTGCAAAATAAAACAAGTACTAAAATATTGTTCGTTTCATGATTCAAATTTCTGTTAATGTTTCTTGTATACCATTAAGTTTCAAGTCAGCAAAGAAAAGTTGCAGTTACATGGGAATTCGCTTTTAGAGATGTTACTTGCGTTGTTCCCCATTTGAAATGTGGAATATGATTAGAGGTGGAATTTAAATTAACAGTTACTGTGCCGACCACATTTAATATAGGGCAACTGATGATTATCCTCGTGTTGGGATTGATAAATCTCGGAAATAAGTGTCCAATCCTTGCCTCCATTTGTTTCGCACTGGCCTACTAAAGCTCTTTTCCCTTGCAGGACCACGGCGTGGAGACGTTCCTCATCAAGCAGGAGCAGCCGCAGCGGCCGCGGCGGCGCGTGTACCTGAGCGGGGGCGGGGCCGGCGCCGGGGGCGGGGATGCCGGGCCGCGGGCGACGGGGGGGGGCGAACGGCGCGGCGAGGGACCTGCGCTCGCGGCTGTGGTCGGAGGACGAGACCAGTCGCGCCTCGCCGCAGGCGCCCGCGCCCCGACGCACCGCCCGCCGCCCCCCGCCCCGCTCCGCCGCCGCCCCCGCAACATCGACGACGAGCCTACACCGACTGGCAGCCGAGAATCCCTTCAACAATGTGAGTCACGGACCGAGCTCTTCTAACTACTTCTTTTACAATGCGGCATAACGCTTCTTTTGGATTTGCATATTACGATAGCTAGTCCTGCTTCTAACGCTTCCGGACCTTTCTTTACAAAGTTTCTGTCTTGGATTTACACAAAATGTGTTCAGACAGTTCATGGCAATTTAAAACTTGTCAATGAAAATCACCTGTTATGAAATAGTTCTTACGAAAAGACATATTTATTCATTTTATCAGTTAGGTCCCGACTCATCAGGAACGGATACACTACAACGCGATGTTTTATTGGCTTCTTATAAAATGTTGCTATCTAGTAATTTTTGAATTTGAGAACATGGATGATCTTGGGATAGACTAGTTTGGATACAAGTAGTTTGGACTAACATACAATCTATCATGTTGGGTACGTGTTCCGATGTGTGGTAGATACATGTTAGTAATAAATGCATGCGTTAAAAAATGAAATACAAATACGATTTTCTACGGCCTGATGTAGATTAATCACCAACCATCTCGCAATTAAAGTGGGAGATGTTGCCGGCCTTAATCACCATGCATGTAGTATATTTTCTGTTGATTCCGTCAGTTCGTCTTATTTTGCGCCGAGTTTTGCATTGAATGCATGAGACACAATACGGCCTTCTTCTGTCCATTGCCAACTCACGTGAATGCTTCAAAAAAAGCCCCCAGCGCCGACTGTGTGCGTCCCAGCTGAACAACACCGCGCTGGATTTGGCCGCGTCGTGGGACCCGGACGGCAACTGCTCGGACGAAGAGGCGGCGGCGGCGGCGGGGCGGGCGGGCGCCGGGCGTGGGCGTGGGCGTGTCGGAGCAGGTCGACGACATCATCGACCACAGCATCGAGATCGAGAGCAACAAGCGCATGCGCTCCGAGAACGTCAACGCGTGGACGCTGCGCTTCAAGCGGCGCGACATGGAGACGGAGGTGAGCACCTTCGAAACGGCTCGGGCCTTCGACACGAACTCCTAGATAGACCTCCAAGGACTTGTGAGGCTTCTAAGGGGCGAGCGGCAGCAAAAAGCCCAGGGTCATTTGTCACCCAAGATCATTTTTTAACCCCCGAGTTCATACAAGATTTTATTTTTTACTTAATTTTAATTATACAGATATACTTATTTACTGATGAACTAGATGTTAACGTGAGACTGTATTTTCGTAATTCCCTCTCATAATTACCACTACAAAAGAAAGAGAAGACATCTTTCAATTATTTTCATATTTCCCTCGTAACCACGATTCTCTCAATCTAGGTTTAGATTTAGATTTATTCAATCAAAAAACTGTATACGACGTAGGGGAGAAAAGATTATCTGTGCACGTTTTCTTGAGTTCAGAATCCCTTCCCGTCATTTTAACTATAAATAGTTGAAAGATGAGTAAAAGTTTAACATAAATCAATAAAAATAAATTTTTAAAATCGCAAGATTAGCAATGTATGAAAAATAGTCACTTTCGTTTCTGAGTTTTAGAAAACATTTGCATCGGTAAACGAATTGCAAGTATGATTTTTCTGCATTGCTATCAAAATAGCAACTCGCCTTTACCTCTACTCTTACCATTACAAGCAAAAGGATAGTTCAATAAAACGTGCGCATAGCGAAGCTACGTTTAGGTCCAGAAGCAAAACAAGGGGCCATCTCAGAATTTGCTCAATGGATCAGGGAACCTGAACAAAAACCTGATCGAGATAAGGGTCATTGACCCGGAAGCTGAAGTACATAATTTGTTACAAACATATTCAGTATTTAAAAAATTATACAGTACGAATGTAAACTAATTCATTATATATCACTGTTGTGTTAAAATCAACATTATTTTTCTTTTTGATAATCAGTATAGTCTCTAATTGTATAGAAACAGTTATGCAGCAGAAAATATTTTACTTTTAATTGAATTAAAATATTTTACTGCACGTTGCACTGAATTCAGTAAGTATCAAGCATCATATCAAAAGCAATAAGGTATCAATAAAAAAGAAAAGAACATTTGTCGCTTTAAAACTAATGCGTAAATACCATATGTTGCTAATTTGTCGCGAGCAAATCTATCGAAGAACCGTCAGGTGCCCACGCTCAAACTAGTATGTGCCTCAAGGGTTACTTAGGGACAAAGTGGAACCATTTTAACAATCTTTTATTCCAAAATAAGGCGAGCAGAAATTCAAGGCATTTTTCTTCATTTTAACTATATACTGGGTCAAATTACTTTCCTAATCCTCACACTGTATTTTAATCGAACAAACATATTAACGAGATTACTCCACTAGATTTGGCAAGAATTTCAAAGTGTACTTGATAAATAAGTATGTTATAGACCTAGAGTCCCAACTCTGTAAGTGTGTCGAATAGTAATGCTCAGCACTTCTCTGCATTGCAGTTCTGCCACTTGAAAGAAGACATGTTCAAATCCAACATGGTATGCTGCTTCTGCCTGTGGCTGTTTGTTGTTGCGGTGCAAGCTGTCATGGTACCTTGGTATGTCATTCCTATAGCTACTAGCTAGTAGTGATCGTAATAAAATTTTAATCAGAAGGATTAATTTATTAACATAATGCATGAAAATATAAATACTTTTGTCGTTAGTAAATTTGAGTAAAACTATGTTTTAAAGCATACACTTGTTAAACCAGCACAACCGTGTCAACAGTTTAAATATCCTCTTTAAAGTAACGTTCTCGAGCTTGTTTATAAAAGTAAAGTACAATATTGATTATTTTCTTGCAGGTTTTTTTCACTATTGGCAGTTTGGTTGTGTTTGTCAATTATTTTCTTATATTTAATTTTAATATTAATCATTGTCATTCTTACACACATGGAACATTCATTACATTTCCAAGGACAATTATTGACTCTCTCATTTTACGATTAGTAGAATACGGTTTAAATGTATTTTTAAAAGAATAAAAATCTTACAGCATTCATTTGTTCCTAATTGTAAGATAGTTTTCAACGTAAGAACCCAATAAACAACCTGACTGAATTTTGTGAATAATTGCAGAATCCGATCGGAATGGGCCTTGGTGGTACGAATATCCCAACGGTACGGACACATAGTAGGAAAAATTAAAAAGCATGTTGTTGGTAAAAAAATGGATAAAATAGTGTTGTGTGTTATACTATTGTAGAGTACTTTATATTATGATTTGTATAGTAAGTATATTGTTACGACCAATACTTAATATTTTATTTTCCAACAATTTTTATTCAAAAATATGATGTCATATGTTTAAAACTGCAAACTGTTCTATAATGGTTGGTACGCCATTCATTAGTATGGAACGGGTCCAGTTCCGACAAGCTTGTTCACAGAATCGATTCTTTTTATGGAAATATGGTTGGTAATGGTAAGGGCAAGATGTGTGATCGTCTTCGGTGATCAACATCATTGTGTTCGCGACGTGTAGTCAATAGACCAGGATACATTTGATTTACATATTACTAGTAGGTAATATTGTCCTCGGTTAATGGTATTTATCCCGAGAGCCTCAGGCACCACTCCACGTACACTGGCGTCCATTTAACTTCCAAATACCAATGTTTGACTTACGTATTACAGGGGCATGTTGATTCTACTAAGTAAACGTACCTGTTCAAGGCTCACCAGGCCCTAATGAGTTGTCAAAAGGAAAGCACTTGAGTATAGCAGGAGTTAGGGAGTAGTTTAAACAATTGTCAACAATGAGAAGAGTTGACTTTCAAGACTGTCTGGTTCAGTATTCAATGAGGAGAATTTAAATCTCAGATAATCATCAATAACCACCTCCCGTAATTTGAAGGGAGTTAGTTTCTCCTTTTAATAACTAATTTTAACATTCTCTTGCTAAAATTTGTATTGTTAAACTATTAATGAACTAATTTTAGATTATTCTCAGATATTTAAACAAGTATATCAATCTAAATATGAAATTTCATGTCCTCTTTTTATTTTCAAATTATATTTAGAACATTTTGTATTCTTCAATCATAACTTCATAATATGTCATAAGAAACAGTTTGTGAAATATTTTCATTTAGAAAAAATCTATTAAAACCAGAATAAATTAGATATTTTTGAGTACCTTACACACACTTAATCAAATTCGTTACTTTGTTTTCGGTCGTTATTTTAGCAAACTTGTTTGTATGCCAAACGTTAATAATTGTTTTATCTTAAAGTGGTTAAAAGTAGAGAACCGTCTAGTCGTAGTGTGGATAAAGCATCTGCATTCAAGTTTTCGGTGGATAATATTTTTCAATTGATGTGCGCCAACTCAAACTCTAATCTTCAATTTTTCTAACCACTCTGAACTTACAAGGCTAGAAATTGAGACATCTGAATTGCATTAGCACTGCTACGAACATCTAAACGTGCGAGGGAAGTGTTGGGTGGAGACTTTACGTGTTTCCCTGTTTTCGATGAACTTCACTGAAGAAACAGCTGATGTGCACTACGCATGTTTAGTAATTAGTGGCATATTTTTTCGAATGATCGTACGTATAAAATGTTTTCTTCGTAAAATTTATTTTCAAATCGCTCGTTTGAAATATTTCTTTCGCGGGAACTTCTTAATTCTAAAAATGTTACTCTGAGAAATATTTTTATTTTGTATTAATATTTTTTTCTTTAATTGTTCCTAGCATGCTCTCCGTTTAGTACTGAATCAGTTCACTTTTTTGCGTGTAGGAGTGTGCGCTAGTGGGAATGACAACATTCAGCTGTGCTGCCTCCTTGTGAACAGTAATCAATTGCTTTGTTTGTACTTTGAATGCAAAAGTCAAAGATAGCCTCCTTTTCGGGGTATTTCTTTGGTTTTTCGGAAGACAGTTTTGGGTCGTGGTTGACGCTTCGGCGGCCGTATTCATCTCACTCACTGCGCGCTTGGTGCAAGAAGGGAATATGTACTAGCTTGGCAACCAACTAGCACTAAGGACATGTTGCGGGTTTTGAAGTGATTGGAGAAGGTAATTATACTCTAAATAGCTGTACTCGTGCACACATATCAATTTTTGTTTTTTCATTTTTTTAAATGAGAAAAAATTGAAATACTACTGTAAATCTGAACAATTAATACGAAGTAATTCGCGCAGGTTTTCTTGAGCTGTCATTTCTTTAAATGCGAGAAAGACATAGAGAGATGTGGTTATTTCCCAGCCAGAACAATCAAGTCAACCGCAGCTTGTTTGTCTAAGCAAATAGTTTGAAGTAGTATACCTTTTGTGACACCAAGTGTTGTCAACAATGCTAGGTGGAATCCTTTATTCACTACTTCTCCTGTGTGGCTCAAGCTGCATATATACCATGTTCCTTTAATCTTTACTAGGTTAATAGTTCACTCATCTGCATACGAGTAACTCTTTGTTTTGTAATCTAAGAGGGCCATGCATCTAGTACGAACATTCAATTCGGGCAAATTGTAGTATACATCATTCTTGGCTATTAGAAATATATGCTATTATTCTTCTGTATAATTTATCATCAAATTGGACAATTTGATTCCCTTCGGTTGCTTAGTTTTCACTAAAGCAATACTACACAATTAAATAAAATACAACATTTTACCCTTTTATTTTGGACATTAGATAAGCACCATGCATTTTAAATAATCCAAATGTTGTATTCGATATCTTATGAAAAAGAGAAGCTGTGAATTAAAAATATGTACCATCGTTACAATACATTTTCACAGACTTCAAAACGTTGTCAGTTGGGCAATGAACATTAATCTGATTTAAAATGGACTAAAAAATTTCAAATATTGTGTAACGATGAATACGATGGTAACTCTCAGGTACAAAATTTGGGTCGTTGTATTAAATATGGATTTATCTGCGGTTAAATGTCTGTCTTTGGGGCTTAAAGCATCAAACAAGACCGCACAGTGAAAGCTGAAAGGAGCTCGAGTCTCGTATAAGACGAACATCTTCACCATGCACTTTTGTAGTGGTTGGATTTCGTGCCATCACATACTCCAATTGGAGCCCCATTCCATTTGTGATTAAACACCTCTACTCTCTTCCAAACAGGAGCAGATATCAAAAAACACTGTGTTCATTGCCCTGAAAAGGGGTGAATGCAAAGGCAAAAGTCTCCTACATCGCTCCTACGAATGAAGGACACATCACACATCATGACCATCACCACGATCTTAAGTTAAATATGGGCTATTTTATTGATTTATATAAGGACCATAAGATTTCCTCGTTTAGTTGTTTTACAGTGTGGCGCATCCAAGGCGGTTTGGTGTTTTTTATCCGCACCTCCAGGCGCCGATGAACTTATTCACAAGTACAGTGCTTACTAATTTTCAGATCAACCCATTATCTGAACCATGTATCTGACAAAGACATTTGGTTCCGCGCGTGGCGGCGCGGAATGAGTGTTGATTGGCGCGCGTCGCAGGTGCGTGGCGATGGTGGCGACGCTGTGCGTGGCGACGGCGGCGCTGTCGGCGGCGCTGGTGCTGGTGATGGCGGAGGAGTTCCCGCAGCTGCCGCTGTTCCTGCGCGTGGCGTCCGCCGACCTGGTTCACCACCGGCGCCGGCGCACGGCGCTCGCGTGCGCCACGCTGCTGCTCATGGCCGGCGCCTCCTCCGTGGCGCTCGTGCGCCTGCCCGCCAGCAGCGTAAGCGCACGCCCGCACGCAGCACGCACTCCCACATGCATTATGCACGCTCGCACCCTCCACGCACGCACACCCGCCCGCACGCACGCAACGCGCACGCCCGCATGCACGATTGCACGCACCACGCCCGCACGCACCACGCACGCCCGCATGCACCACGCACGCCCGCACGCAGCACGCCCACCAGCACGCCCACGCACCACGCACGCACCGCGCACGCCCGCATGCACCACGCATGCAGCACGCGCGATCGCACGCACCACGCATGCCAGCACGCATCTCGCACGCCCGCACGCACCATGCACGCCCGCATGCACCGCGCACGCCCGCACGTACCACGCCAGCACGCACCACTCACGCCCGCACGCATCACGCACGCCCGCACGCACCACGCATGTCCGCACGCACCAGGAATGCCCGCACGACTGCTCCCCTCGTAGGGCCACCTGCAGTTAGGAGACCGGAGGGTTCGAGTCCCCACGGTTTTCATTGGTTGACTCAGTGATTCTGGGCTAAATTCAATCAACTGCTAAATTCATTACTCCCGTAAGTGTAGTGTATTTTTCCGCGGGATGTGGAGGTGAATCAATCCACCGGCAGATAGTGGGATCCGGCACTGAACTTCTGACGGCTAGAGGGTATTCCCCTAGAAAGTATCTTCCACTAGCGAGACACCACCCCAGACGGGACAAGCTGTAAGCTCCCGTCAGGTCTTCTGTGATACAGATATGTAGCAGTGTAGTCCGTTTTAGTGTAAGTGTGAGAAGAGTGTGTGTATGTATGTAAGGGGAGATGATAGAAAAAGGAAGAAGGAAAGATCGTGCGCGGTCCATGGCCCATTTGGTAGGGTACTGCCCCGGCATTAGTCTGGAATTTATCTGTAAAACTACGGAAAACTACCGATCAGAGCAAGTAGCCGCTAGATTTCTCTTCCAGACAGCGGCTGAATTCGACGTAGCGACAGTTGATACCCTGAGCTACCTCTCCCGGTCGGGTTTCAATGGTGGCAGAATTTTCAACGCAAGCCAGATAGCTAGGTCGAATTCAAACGCCATATGTAGGAGAATTCTAGCGACTGACTATCTGATGGGTAGTTTTCTGTGGTTTCTTCAATCAACAGCACGCGAGTGACGGAGCAATACTCGCTTAGGGATTGTCCCGGCTGGGGCAATGGCCGCTGGTGACAGGATGGAGATAAGCGCGTAATCCGACCTTTAAGCCGCCTCTCACCTTTCAGCAGGGAAAGCATACCGCCTCCTCCCGTGATAATATATGCATTACACTTACGGAACTAATTACAAGTTGACCCGCCCGGAAAACGAAACAAGCAGGCAGTCAATTGCATGCTGGGCCTAATGCCGCCTTTGTTGAAAATGTGAACGACTGATTAAGACCAGATTAGAATGAAATATGCACAAACGGAAATATCCATACTTTCCGCAATCATGTGATAAATATTGGAAATGCGATAATGACTGGTGAAATAATGCATATTAGTTGTATATGATTAATAGTAAAATATTTGCTTGTACATATTTGGTAAAAATATTGTCTATGAATTCCAATGGACCATATTAAAAATGTTTTAAAGCTTCATCCATCGTTTTCCATTGGGAATTGCTACGTGTTTGATACGTAATTCTTACTATCACTCAGACTGAAAATTTCTAAATTTTGAAAACATTGTCGTATCTTGATTTGATCTTCAGTGTTCCACATTTAAACTGAGTTTTCTGTTCCAGCACATTCCTTACGAAATGCAGTAATTCTAATTTAAAACGCTTCCCCAGAGCGCCGACAGCAGCAACCAGACGTCTTCGGCGGAGTCGACGGTGAGCGCGGCGCCCGAGGCGGCGGCGGCTTCGTCGGCGGCGCCCCTGGCGGAGGCCGCTCCGGTGGCGGCGGCGGCGGCGGCTGCGCAGGGCGAGGTGTTCGTGTCGCTGCTGCTGCGAGTGCGCGTCAACGGCTCGGGCGCCGCCTGCGACCCGGCGGCCGGCGGCGACTGCGCCTCGTCCCTGCTGCGCGCCGCCAACTCCGCGCTCGAGCTGGGTAAGCCATATGCGCTGCAAGTTTTTTTAGCAATAAATACAGGTTCAAGGCGTAACAAAGGAATTGAATGTTCAAAGTCGTTAGTTTTGGAGTGTGACAAAAAGTGTAGTATTGAGAAACATACACTCATGAATTCAGTTATCCGATGTCAGATATCCCCAATATCTTGTTGGTAAGCTGTCATTAAGATGTGAATCAGTAACTTCTAGAACTCAAAGTGCTTTGAGGTTTCATTTTTCCCCTTTTGAAACGGAGATGTGGTTTTGCGCAAGGCCCTATATTGAATGCGCAGAACCTCATTTGCACATAGGAACCACATTTGCACACAAGAACCACACGTGCACACAGTAAAGTCCATGACTGATTTCTAACTATTAATCTGCAAAGGTGGTCCAGGAACCTTACTCCAAGTGGGAACTTGCATAAGAATTATTACCAATTACAGAATCGTAACAGCTAAGCAGGTTTCCGGAATGTTGCGGTATAGTAATACCAGAAATAAAAGTACCTCAATTCTAATAAATAAGAACATTTATAATGAAAATACATCTAATACATTAATAATAAAGTTTCTTTGATACCTAAGTAAGAAAGAGAACACAGTAGGTTTCGAAATACAACAGAAAACAATATATTTCCTCTGGTCGTATAGTATAGGATCGTATACAAATAACAAATAACGAAATAAAAGTGTCACAAGAAACTGGCGAGCAAAGATTTAATAATGTATATCACTAGAAACGTAGATTCTCAATTAAAAATTTACGAGGTTCTTAAGTTTATCAATGAAAGGGTACGCTAATTTTGATGAAGCGCGACCAATTTCTGAATGTTTGTGAACGACATTTTCTCACCGTGTTCATGCAGGAAGGAAGCAAAAAGACCCACGTTCATTGAAACCACCAGATTTGCCGCGTTCGCTCAAAGCCTCCTTTAATCCTGCTCTGCGGGTTTCGTAAGAACGCTGTCCTTTTCTGCCAAGGTTCTGCCATATTCTCGCGTTCAACCTTCCGCTGAATCAATCTACAAACTAAATCTCGTCCTCTGTTCTGCCAAGGTTCTGCCATATTCTCGCATTCAACCTTCCGCTGAATCAATCTACAAACGTAATCTCGTCCGCTGTCGCGGGGATTACACGACATTACAAGCATTCTCGCCCTTGGCGATTGACTTCCCGGAACTTGTGTTAGCATACAAACATAAAGAACCGCCTATTACTGATGTGGCAATGTACTTGACCGAAGTGGGCACTAGAACTGGCTACGACGAACACACATCACGACAATGACGAGCAGCACGATTTATTGTGAGTGAGAGAGAAACCCTGGGTCATGGTTCTCTGGTTCGTTGAGCAATGGACAGCACGACGTCAATCTGAGTTTCACACTATTTGAATGAGTTCAAACACCGACACTTTCGTTGCGCGCATATTTTGGGGAACCTTATTCTACGAAATGGAACCATTTTTTTACTTCATAATAAACGCGTAACAATGAATTTATCTGTAAATATGTAGATTTATTTAAACAAGTATCTCAGGCGCTCTTTTTCTCCATGTTAAACTTGGTCGCGCAGCGTGGATCTAGCCGTATTTCCGGGGCGACGGAATGCAACACAGCCCCAACGGGGACTTTTTGTGCATCTGACTCTCCCTTAACTACAACTAAAGTGATTGATATACTTTCGAATCCCCATAAAATTGATAATTCCCCCATAAATATTTGAGGAATCATTGCAACGTAGAAAAAGCAATTATTTAATGTTGGACGGACGTTCCTTGAAACCATGCTGTCGAAGGTCGTCAGCTTAATCACAAGCAGTTACACGCTGGATGTGATAATTCAGTCGCAAGGTACAGTAAGAGATCAGATAGGCTGACATAATCAAATACTTGCACATTTCAGCTATAATATAAAGTACCTAATTGTTATATGCGTCGTCATTGCCTACAATATTGTTGGCAATGACGACTCATATAATTATTTCATTGGAAATGCCAACGATAACTCACCACAATACCTATATAGGTTACATATATAGGTGGTTAGGCGGAAGAGTAGGCCCTATGGCCTGAGCCTCGCAATTAATAAAGACATTAATAATAATAATATAATAATATAATAATAATAATATAAGAATATAATAATATAATAATATAATAATATAATAATATAATAATATAATAATATAATAATATAATGATAATATAATAATGTATTATTATTATTATTATTATTATTATTATTATTATAATCTAATACCATTAATCTAATACCAGTCGCACAATGCTTGTTTACGCTAAATCTCTTGGTTTACTACTTCCCTTCCTCAACACTCGCATTATAATGTGTAAAGGTTTCCACGCCTTCCCAACAGCAAAGTTGACGTGCTCCCCCATCCAACCTGTTCATTGATTATCACCCCCAGATATTAATCACCCCCATAATAGCTATGTTAAGATTAAATTGTAGTAATAGTGTTGTAAGAGATAAGATCAGTAGTATGTGAAGGCCCTCTGCATTTAGCAGGCATGCCTTAAATTAAATAATATTGTACCAAGTATTTTAGTGTTCTTTATGGTATTACATTACTGTATTAGATATATGAGTGTGAAGAATTTGCCACCAGACTTAATGCCCAAAACTAATTCAATAAATTATCTATGTTACCGGCATAGGTGGTCGTGCCGCGGAAGCAGCGGCTGCGGCAGCGGCGGCCGCGGCGGCTGGGGGGTCGTCTTCGGCGGCGGAGCAGGCGGCCCCGGTCCATCACAGGCGGCGGCGAGAGGCGGAGGCGGAGGCGGAAGCGGAGGCGCAGGCGGAGGCGGAGGAGGCGTCGCAGCCGCCGGAGACGACGGAGGTGGCAGCGGCGGCCATAGCGGCGGGGGCGGAGGCGCGAAGTAGCCCCAAGGTGAACAAAGACGCGCTCTCGGCCAAGTACATCGTGTTCACGTGGGTGCTGTGCCTGGTGGCGGTGGCGACGTCGCTCAAGCTCTACTACCTGGTGAAGACGGCGCTGGCGCTCGCCATGTCCGCCGCCTACGCGCTGCTCATCGCCGTCGTCTTCCAGGAGAACTTCGAAGGACAGCAGAACCTCGAGGAGCGCATCCCGGGAGACGAGTAAGTGCACACGTACCACGCAACATTCGCTCAACATGGGCCGAAGGCTGCCGGTAGGATTCGTTGACGTACGTCTACATCCTCTGGCCTCGAGCCTCGGTTGTACTAGGAATAATTTGGTCAACATGGTATTCCTGCTCTTTGGAGCACCGGGAAACGTTTACATTGGAGGCCCAATGGAACTGGAAGCCGTCTTTGTAACTTCAAGCCGCTTTCAAACGCTAACTTAAAGCAACTTTCACGCTATCAGGATTTAAACTCCTCCGTTACTTCTTAACGTAACTTACCACTGTTCTCAAAGAATAATATAAATTGACAGTGATTCATTTCGTCTGAAGAACATGTAGACGTTTTCCTCATATTAGCAATAAATAATTACTTTACCATTTTGGCCTCAAATGTAAAGATTTACGTAGAAAGTGTTTTTTTTGTTGTAATTTTTAGATTTCTTTGAAGGCTACATGCTTCGTCACATGCGCATTTGCAAGATTCGAACCGTTCTTAGAGTCTAGAAAAATTATTTGCGTTATTTGGGAACTGTGTTCTTTGCAATTCCGACGACCGTCTGGAGTATTCTACTGCGATAGAATGGATCGCGCGCTCGTAAAATGTCCTCCAGTTCCATCAATTCACAAGTTTGCGTTTTTCGTATCATTTTTTTTTTCTTTGGCAATACTTTAAATTTTTCTTTGGCAAAAATTATCAATGATTCGTTTCACTTCAAACACAATTTCCGAAACGTAACTTTGATTTTAATTCGGTTCAGACTATATTTTTCAATCTGTAGTAATTTTTTTTATGTTTCCTGGATTTTGTATGCTAAACGTGTTTCATGTAAAATGAAATTAAACTAGTTAGCGGCAAAACGTAAATTCCGCCAGCCGCATGTGCGCGTTCTGAGAGCAGGGAGCGAAGGTTTGGTGTGTGTGCCGCAGCGCGGTGAAGCCGTCGTACCAGATGCTGGCGCTGCTGGCGGTGTTCCTGGGCGTGGTGGTGTACCACGCGCGCCTCGTGGAGGTGACGTCGCGCCTCGACTTTTTGTGGAAGTGCCAGGCGGAGCGCGAGCTGCGCGACATGCAGGAGACGCGCCACAACAACGGCCAGCTGCTGCGCAACATCCTGCCCGACCACGTGGCCGCGCACTTCCTCGCCGAGGACCGACGCCCCGACGTGAGTGCCCCCCACCCCCATCCCCCACTCCTACCTCACTGAGAAATCTAGCGGCCGGCTGCTCTGGTCAGTAGTTTTCCGTGGTTTGGCTGATCAATAGTACCTGGAGAATGCCGGGTAAATACCCTACCAAATGGGCCACGGACCGCGAGCGATCTTTCCTTCCTCTTCCGTGTTCCTTCTTCCCTTACACCACACACACACACACACACACACACACACACACACACACAGCTCTTCCAGTAAACTATCACACATGTCGGAAGACTAATCAGAAACTTGGAGCGAGTTCCGACTGGAGTGGTGCTCTGCTGGGGGAAGATATCTGGAAGGGGAAAATCCCGCAAGCTGACAGAGGTTGGCTCCGGATGTCACGTTCCAACAGAGTAAGAACATCGCTATCCCCGAAAAACACCCTTCATTACACTAATGGGACTAATGAACTAAACATTTGGTAGCCCGCAAACAGGAGAAAATCTATTAATCATTTAGTTCACAAGTGCGTAAAACATAAAAAATATCTACATGGCAGAAGCTAAATGTATTCAGAAGTACGTGACCAAAATATTAATTAAAAAAATAGCCTAAGTGTTTTTCGACAAAACACGCCACTTTTCAGGAACCGCTTCAGCCGTTTTAGAGAGAACTGTGCAGAGACAAAAATCATAAAAGGAATAGATTTGTGTTTTATATAATTTGAATATGCAAATGGGATTATAAGTCAGTTAATTTGAAATCTCAGATAGACACTCCAATTATATTTGTATTAAAAATATTCCAGCAGAAAAGCCTCTACTTGACATTTGAAATTGTGATTTGCATGGGCTTCCATTGTCAACATTTGCTGAATCTTCGTTTCCCGGGACGAGGCGAGTACGCATTTGTATGGATATGAAATAAGCATCTGTCAGTGTACATGCTTAACTTGCAAATGCAAAATCACTTCATCCAGTTTTCAGGAGAAAAAAATAATTCTTTACTTTCACAATGATCGAAATTATAAAATATGTATTGATTCTAAGATACTTTCCTCTCAATCACATTTTCCATAACGAATTAATTAATTATAAATGTAATAACAATTTCTATTTTTGTTACAGTTTTTCTTTGAAGTGTAAAATGAAATTAGGCATCTTTAATGCTGCTGTAACATATATTACAACGTGCTTTTCTGGAATTTTCTCACACTCGTTGCATAACTTGATACTTTCAGTAAATATACTGTTCAAAATTCTGAAAGACTAAAACCCCGAACAATGTTAAAAATAATTGGGCACTATTTATATAAATCTTAACTTACAATTATTTTTCAACAATTGAATGGAATAGTATAATTTTTCATCGATGAAACTTGGTCAGTCACAGTCACGAATGAAAACTGTCTCTTAAAGCGAACAAGAATCAGTTACAAGACGGGCTTCTGAAGTTAATTTCCATAATGATTTTACTTTTTTTTTCTTCGCAATTCACGAATAATCGGAAAGCCTTTCTTCCACTATTCCTTCTTTGAAATGTATCTCATACATTTTCAACAGAATATGGACTTTCTAAAACGATCCGCTACAAAGAAGTTTCCAACATGAGTTTTAAGATCAAAGGAATAGTAACTTTTCTCTCAGCGCCAATTTCGTTTTAAAAAAGTTTTCGAAGACATTTTTTACATCCAAAATTCTGTCTTTGGAGGATTATTCAGTATTGTAAGAAGTCTGATCTATTCTTTCTTGCAATTTACATACAGAGTTTACTGTATTTGCCAAAATATGTTTATGCGTTCTGTTCGTTAATTTATAAAATTCTATGAGTTAATTAATAACATCACAGAATATCAGTTCATAACTTTACCAGTAAAATTTAACTTCAAACATTTATCGACCTATAGGGCCCCAATCTGTTCTTAATATGATTAACGGGAGCTTGAAACTGTCAACTTTGAAAATGAAAAAAATACTTTTCTAAAAACGTGTTTTTTACAAAATTACTTCCAAGTAAGGTTTTCGTCGTGAAAACTTATTAAATGGTTTCTTCCACTTGCCCTTAAACACCCAAGGAATATTATATGTTAACTGCATTATATTCCTTGACTGGTTGCAAAGCCTCTGGGGCAGCAATGCCGTTGCCTCTGCAGAGTCTTGGAGGTCCTAGGGTTTGTGTCCCGACGGCGGTGAATTTCGACACAATACAACTAGGTCAAATTCAAGATCTGTCTGGAGGAGCCGGACCGTGCGCGATCGTGTCACCCGCGTCCCTTCCCCCCTTCCACTGTCTTTACGCACACACATTTGCATGCAATACTCTACTGCGAGGCCACTGGAAAGTTTAGAGCTTGTCCCGGCTGGGGCAGTGCTCGGCTAGGGGTAGTACCTGTAAGGGGAAAAAACAGAAAGCCGATGTGTAGGTTGTGTAGGTCGGCCTCGGTTCTCGTGTTTTGGTGAAGTCGAAACACTGCTACCTCCAGCAATAACATGCACTATACCTAGTGGTGTAATGATCATTGCTGTCAACGCGCCCGAAAACACGACACAATTAAAACAAGACATTACACTTCAAAGTCTCTTCCAATGATGTATCAAGGCGTGATATGTACTGTTTAATCCAATGGGTTTAATGCTGACTGCTGTAAGCAACATGATTACTGTGGAGGTGATGCAGCATGGCGTGATGTCTCGTGTGCAGGAGCTGTACTCGCAGCAGCGCGACCAAGTGGGCGTCATGTTTGCGACCATCCCCAACTTCACAGAGTTCTATTCCGAGGACATCAACAAAGGCATGGAGTGCATCCGGCTACTCAACGAGATCATAGGTGAGTTACTGGAATTGCAAAGAGAACAGAATTACACTATAGGCGCATCTAATATTCGTCAAGGTCGAGTATCAGCCCAATCGTTTAAAATGGTGGTAAATGGAACTTATGGTACACAAAAAACATCGTGCTTTTAGTAACTTCATTGTTCTTAGATAGTTCTTTATACTGATGAGAAACATTGTGTGTTCCTATCTGTACAAATACTTTAAAAATTCTACTTAGAAAGGAATTATTTAAGAAAGTTTGTATGCGTCAAGTATGATAAGTTTTAACCAAAGGAGCCAGGACACATTTGTACATGACGAAGCAACGAATCAAGAGAGACTTGATAGACGTGGCTTTCCTAAATAAGTAATCAATAATGTCAAACTTCAATGTCAACGTAAATGCACTAAGGTCTTTGAAGAAGAGTGAAAAATATTTAAACTCTTTTATGCTCTATTATATTTTATGTTATAAAAGATTATCTTAAGTTTGATATTTTACTCGTATCTTCGGTCGGGCCAAACTTCGCGAATCGCTAAATCCCCTGGCCAACTCACAATAGTTCAATTTTTGAAGCGGTCAACAATGGCTAGTTTTTAAATGTATCTGGGTTAGAAGTAACCATAGTTCATCTCGTGACTTCTCATGTAAACATCATGCCCAAGCCAAAAACATAGCGCCTGGAAATAAGTTTTTTCATGTCGTGTAGATACAATGATAAGGTTTAAATTTGTCATTGCAATATACCAACATCGATCCAATTTTTATGGCTAATTAGATTCTTATAATTACATAGCCGGTCGTTGTAGCGTGATAAAACATTATTAAAATGCCTTTTAACTAATTTAGCATCCTGCGGCTCTGTCACTCCTCGCCTCAAGTGCAGATCGGCACGTAGCGTGGGAAGCAAAACAATGTTCGTTTATCCACCATCGGCTGCCCAGTACACAGGCAGCAGCCGCGACATAATCCATTCCCCTGCTTAGCCTACTCATACAAACAAACTTTGACAGAACGAGACTCCATGAGCCTGTAATTGTTTGCACTAGCGTGAAGCCAGCGCTTCACTTTCGGTTTTGTGTCTTTGATCTCGCCTAGTGAAAATGTTTAATATCACTTTCAAATTCAATATCAAAACACATTGAGAATGCAAGTATAAATCATAGAGTTCTTGATTTTTTGTGATCATTGCACATTGATTAACAATTCAGACATTTGATTCTACATTCAAGTTCCCAAAAATCTTCTATATGCGTTTTGCCAAACTAGCGCTGCGAAAATCGAGCATTTTAGTTGTAAGGTGAGACACCAAGTAAAAAATTGTGTTCCAGCTCTCCTACCACCTAAATCTTTCTTATCTTATAATTTTTGTTTCTAATACGTAATGTAGTAGTAGTGTTGTAAACCATACACAGATGAAATGGAAAAAAAAGTTTACAACAAATATAAAATCTGAAACAGGATGCTTGCAGCTTTTGAAAGTGGATATTCATATAATCGGTTTTTCTTAAATAATATTGACACGACTTTTTAGGTGTGCGTGTCTAGCAGGTGTTTCCCTAGAAACACAAACAAAGCATTGCTTGGGCGAATGCAGCGCTTTCTATGTCGGTTCAATAGCAACGCAGCACTCCGCAACGACGGTCAGATTTTAAAACCTCGTACGTCTCATTTCCGTGAAAAATCACATTTAGATACTATTTTCATTCACCAAATAATTATCTGTTATGTATTAAGAGTTTGGAAGGGTATTTTCACTAATATAGTTCAAACAATTAGTTTTAAAGCCACTCAGAGGACAAGAAGGCACTTATTAATATAAAGTTTTGTAAATGCGATGTATAAAGCAGCGAGAGTGGCGAAAGCAAGAGCAGTAAGCGAGAACCAGCGTTTTCCCAGCGTAAGCCGTAAGGCGAGGATTGCATGTTGCATTCCGGGCAGAGGATTTAGTATATATCTTATATATTTTTTATATCTGATTTGCACATTACCGGTCAAAATATATCAAATGCCATACTGATTCAATTACACGCGCTGAAATGACAGAAAAACTCATGCATGATATGTATTTAGTACTAACAAGTACAATATGTCAAAAATCCTTTAGGCCTCTGTTCACATTGTTTAGAACCAACGTCTTTCTGGCAAACGATGTAAGAATCAAATGAATGATAGTTTCATAAAGAGGGCGCCATCACGATTGTTCTTAAGGGAGAATACAGGAGTATTACCGGACACTAGCACACATGGTTTTCTTCAAAAAGAATTGTTCTTTTAATCTTAATCGAAAATGTCTTTTTATTTGTTGAATTACAGTGGATACTATAGTGAATGGCTTTCATTAATATAGAAAATTATAAAAATTTGTATTCTTTAATATGTATCGTTGGCTTCTACAGAGGGGACTGAATTCCTATGAAACCCTCACCCCTTGGGTGCGCCATTGTTTAATAATCGAAAGTACGATATTTAAGATTCACAAGACACAGTGAATTTCCTATGTACTTAAGCTTATTAGTACTATACGATCCAGTGAAATTACTCAAAGCAGACATGCGTGGGGGTTGTGTGGGCGGTGTGGGCATTCGCGGGCAGGCGTGGACGTGTGTGTGGTGGGCATTCGCGGGCAGGCGTGGACGTGCGCGGGGCGCTGAGCCGAGTCGTGTTGCGCGCGGTGCGTGCGCAGTGGACTGGGACGAGCTGCTGGACGAGCCGCGCTTCAACTGCATCGAGAAGGTGAAGACGGTGGGCGCGTCCTACATGGCGGCGAGCGGCCTCAACCCGGCGTCCACGGCCAGGCGCGCCAAGGAGCGCGGCGGCGCCAACGGCACGGCGGGCGGCGCCGTCAAGGGCGAAGATGGCAACGGCAAGGGCGAGGACGGCGACCCGCTGGAGCACGTGTGCGCGCTCGTCGACTTCGCCGTCGCCATGCAGCAGCGCCTCGAGGACGTCAACCAGCACTCCTTCAACAGCTTCCGCCTGCGCGTCGGTGAGCGCTCCCCCCCTTCATCTCAATTCCCCCACTTCAATCTTTATTTGCGAAACTCTTCGAATATCGAACACCTCTCATCTCTCATTAACACTGGTTAGTCACTTCAGGGGGAAACGCCAACAAGTTACACGTATTATTATTGCATTTAATAAATTTTTGACTGTTTTGGCCTCAGAAACACAGATTTGCGTAGAAATACGTGCTTCTGGGGCAATTATTTTTTGCTCATGAATTTTTTTTGTACTTTCCCAATTTCTTCGCGGCCAATATGTTACTGGAACTTTGTGCTCATTTTCAAGACGAAACGTAGTTGTGTTCTCCGGAGGCCATTTGTCGCATTTGCGAACAGCGAGTGCACTGTAGTTCTGACAACCGGCTGACGGGCTAAGGTTCTTGCGGCCTGAAATTGAAGTAATCGCAGGGTCGTGAGCGGTATACGACTGTCGTAATTGGCACCCTAATTCCATCACTTGACAGATTTTCGTATTCTGTAATTTGTGTAAGAAAATATATTTTTAAAGAATACTAAGAAATGCGACAAGCCCTATGACTCACTTGAAGCTTAACCTTCTGGGCAATATAGAAAAAAAACTCTCAACAAACAATTATAAAATAACGAAACGTTTCCCAACAAAATTACAATAAATATTTGTATGTATAATTTCGGCAAAGCTGTTAACATTAATTTTTTTCGCAAGAGATAATCCGCCTGTATCTTCGTTTCTGGCACACGATCGTCTCAACGATTGTCATCTTCCTCCAAGTCGTCCACTCCAAGAGACCATTATTACGTAAAAGTATACAGTCAAAGTCGATTGAATTACATTATTATCACATTATTCATCCATTATTCACTATTGATTTAAGCGAATTTTCCTTTCCTGAGTTTATTTACAATTGTATTTCTTATACCTAATATTATTTATGTCACTGTTCTCATATTCTTCACTGCAACGTGAATATGTATCTACTTGGCTATTCCGGGGAAAAGTGCCGACTTTCCAGTTGTCATGCTGCGACCTTCCTCAGGGCGAAATTCCTAATTTGCCTTTCATTTCTCCATGAGAAGGTTGCAGCAGATAAATGGAACGTTGGCTTTCCTTCCTAGAATGTGGCGTCTCCATAACAGACAAGTAGATACTGACTCTAGCCCCGGAAACATATGGTTTCAACAGAAATGTGTGCATGAATTACCATTCTCTTGCCTTCGCCTCCTGCCTTTGTTTTGATATTTGTGTAAAAATTATTGTTACTATACTGTTACTATTATGCTATATATGTACTGTCTACTTAATTCTTTTATTTAATTTTTCTAAACTTTCTGGAATATAAATATTCTTTGAAGCTAATCTAAAGTTATCTTGTTTAGTTTCAAACTTCTCATATTAACTCCACACGCGTTGGTATAGCAAAAAAGGTACATTTTCAGTGTATTTAAGTAGTTCATACTTTTGTGTGTGTTTCGTCCTTGTGAAGTTCCCCATCGTAATGTGTAAAGTGCTGGAAAAGGAAGCAGCAAGCGCGGTAGACCTAGACGCTTTGCTGACCGGGTTCGAAGAGCCCAGTCACTGACTGCGCGCCGCGCTGCCTAGGCATCAGCGTGGGGCCGCTGGTGGGCGGCGTGATCGGCGCGCGGAAGCCCGTCTTCGACATCTGGGGCAACACCGTCAACGAAGCCAGCCGCATGGACTCCACGGGCAAGATGGGCCACATCCAGGTGCCCAAGGACACCGCTGCCGTGAGTGTCGCCCCCCCCCCCCTCTTACGCGCTTTCTGCTCTCAAGCCGTTTCTCATATCGCCCTCACAGTTCGAATTCCAATGGTACGCGGCTGATATTTAAGATCACGTTGAAGACTGGATGCCTTCTTTTGAATTTTAACTGATTTTGCCTCTCGCAGAAAGATGTTCAGACATATTAAAGTAGCTATTTCTCAACTGTTAATAGTCCGTAAACATAAAATTTTTGAGCCTAGATCGGTAAAAAGTTTTACCGGTCTAGTTCGATAAAAACACGTTCATGTAATACACAGAAATGTGCTGACACGGAGCACTTTTTTAAACAACTAATGATCCTCGGACCGGCTTAGATGGCTGCAGTGGCATCAATTGGTCACCAGTGATGTGACCGGGAGATCCTAGGGTCCGAGTGCCGGCGGTGGCAAGCTCTTCAATCCCAGCTTCGTGTCTAGCTCGAATTCAGACGATGTCTGGAGGATACCTAGCCGCCGGCTGCTCTGATCGGTATCTCATAGATTTTCCTATCAACACCAGATGAATGCAGGAGCAGTTCACTAACAAACAGGCCACGAGTCGCGCACAATCTTTCCTTCCTCTTCCTTGCCCTATCTTCACCCCTTACTTACACACACTTGCATGCACTATACTATCACACATGTCGGGAGACCGGACAGGAGCTTAGATCTAGGGCGGTGTCTTACTGGTGGGAGATACCTGGTTGGGGAATCCCTTGCAACCTGACGGGCTGGCCGGCAGTGGCTCTCGTCATCAAGCGGGGGAAGATCACCGCCACCTCTCGAGATAAAACATGCATTATACTTACGGGACAAATGATCTGGCCAGTTCGGAATAACTAATCAATGACGCGTCCGGAATCATTAATCAATCAATCAATCAATCCTTGGACCAATGATCAAGACAACAGCGGTTACAAACACAGGCGTGCGCAATGTAGGAGGCCACGAGGGGGGGGCGGTAAATTGGAAATTTCCAGGAAATGTTTAAAGGGGCCTCATTGCCTTTGGAAATATTATTTTATTCCCTTTCCCATTGTTAAATTCTCTATTTATTGTATAATTCAATTTATAATTGCATTCCCCTCGCAGTATGTTATTTATTTTCTAGTAAATAAATAAAATGTGGATCCTTATTTTTTAAATTAATTAAAAGGAAACCCACAAATGGATTCACTCTTTCTTGATTTAGGCTGCGTACGCCTGTGGTCAGGGAACTGCACACGTATACATTTCGTATACAAAACTAGTTGTGTGTACGCCACGAGAAAGAAACGTTTCACATTAGTTTTATTATAGTACATAAAACATTGCATGGACCGCGACCGAATCATGAATGCTTTTGGACTGTCATCAACCAACTTCGTCCAAAATCTTAAGTTTCGGCCTTGAATACTTTTCTCATATATAAATAAAACAGTTTTTATTTGTATTAAAAAGGAAGAAATTATGAATAATTAATTAAAGTTATGAAGCGCAGAAATTAAACCTTTTAAAATAAGTAATAAGTCAGAAAAAGTACTTTTGTTTGAATATTTAAAATGTGTACTATATTGATTTGAAACATTCATTTAAAGGAATTCTGCATACTTACGAAAAAATCCACCGATATGTTCTTACCTCTACATCAAAGGTTTCAATCATTTTCCTCTAAATTAAATTACCGTTAATTAGCACTATGTTTCTCACACTTTTCTCGACTAATTTTTGATAAGTTTGATGTACTTTACTACGATCTAAATGATGTCGACCTCGCAAATCTTTAAAAAGCGTTGTAATCTCTAATTGCACAGGATATCGTGCAGTTGATGCTAAACGTGCGCAATTTATTTTGTATTCGTAGACATTTCTCCATTTCCTTGCTCTGACTCCGGTTTGTTCCATTGATTTCTTTATAGTTTCCGTCTCATAACTCACTCAGTAAATGGTAATTTCGTTTCCGCAAACTGCTGCGACGCAAACGTTCACCGTTTCTCATGCCGTTATTTGAGCGGAACGTTTTATAGCCACAATATTTTATTGCCTACTCAATTGAAAAATAATGTCTTTTCGAAAACGTGAGCAGGTAACTGAATGAAAGAACCACGTGGGGAATAAGATTCGTACACTTCTTTTATGCGTGGTTATATCCGAAAATGAATGTCTTCGCGACATAACATTTTAGACTAGAAGTAGTGTTACAAATCAAAATGCTGACTTTAATCTTTCGTCCGGTCAAATTTACGAGCTAAACGTGTTTGTAGGGTTTGGTTTTGAATATTAATCTCTTGTTTTTAGTTTTGTTCGATTGCAAGTAAATTTGTTCAAGATATAATCTACTCGTAAGTCTGCACCTGCGGAAAAACGCTTGACACGATTCAATATAGTAACTAGAAGTAGAAACTAAAGGCACAATTACTCAAAACTGACCCAAATTATTATTTTTAAAATATATTAATTAAAAACTGATTGTGGAGAAAAAATATATATAAAAAAATATTTTCTTCAATATTATAGTTGTACGAAGACGCTGAAAAATTCAAACTTTTGTTATTTTCAAAAATTTTAATTTAGTCAAAATTGAATCTACAATTTTTTATAATTGTATTTCACTATTATTTCAAGAAATTTAAAGAAAAAATTTGGAATCATTTTTGAGAAAACGTGGAAAATGTCCCAGGAGTTTTAGGTAAAGTCCCTCCAAAATTTAAAGAATGATTTTCAAAACCGAACGAGTCCGGACAGATCGACCGGAGGATATTCATTTGAAAAAAAAACACAAAACGCAGGTGCTAGTTGTACGCACACGGAAGGACATATACCCAGACAGACGTTAAGACAGAAAGACAGTCGGACGAACATTTTGAAAAAAATAACTTTTGTTATGAGAGGGCTCCAAAATATGCATTTTCGTTTAAATCTCGAAATTAATTTACTGTAGCCTTACGTAACACTATTTATATGTATACGTAGAATACATATAAGAGAAATTGAAAAAGAACTCTTTCAAAGGAAAAAATCATTTGAAGGAAAATTTTAAGAGAAGTACAAAATTGTGCAAAACATTTAAAAAACGAATTAGTATAAAATTTTTCGTCATATACTTATGTACGTAGTATAGAGGCAGTTTTTCTTAAATTTGTATCTCAGATAGATGGAGGTATGCTTATAAAAATAGCGTAGGTCCGATTATTTTTGTTGAACTCTGATTTTTGAATATTAAAAAAATGTCGGCGTCCCCCTAGAACTGCAGTATTGAATCCTTTTATTCTTAATGAAATATGTTGTTCTAATTTGGATCTTCAAATGCGGTCCTGTAAAATTGTTTCAAAATATTAGTAATTTTGGAGTACTTTTTTAATAAAAATGGCTCAGGCACCCTCTAAATGTTCGAAAATTACAAAACTTAGAAAGAATGAGAGAATGCATGTGAGGTAGCATTAAAGTTTGAAGGATGTAAAGTACCGATGTAAAGGTACCGGCATCGATGCTTCGTATTTATTACGAGGGGGAGGGACATAATGAAATCTTTCATTCTTACCTTTTCGTCCTCATACGGCGCACTCCCAAAACGGGCCTAGAATCGGCATTGTTCTTTATCGATAATAGTGGAACTAGCATTCTCGAACACAGCGATCTCGGGGCGCTGGACTTACCGTCGTGAACGATCGCAACGGAGTGTCTTTGTGGCCGGTTCTCCATCCATGTACGAGTATCTTGTCGTTGGATAACGCATCCTCCTGTGCATCCCTGATCGCCCCGCGCGCGCGCTTGCAGATCCTGGAGGCGCGCGGCTACACGGTGCACCTGCGCGGGCTGGTGGCCGTGAAGGGCAAGGGCGACATGGAGACGTTCTACGTGCTGGGCAAGCGCGCCAAGTGGGCGTCCGTCATCACGCGCCAGCCCTCCAACTACAACAGCCTGGCGGCCGTCGTCTACGGCATGGTGCAGGCGCACCGCCGACGCACCGTGCGCAGCAAGAACAGTAAGTGCCTGCGCACCGCTCCTGCCACTCACACGCCCGTCCTAGGGGAATTTTGACGGACACCTGCTCGGATCGGGTTTCAGTGGTTTCTCCAATCAATACTAAGCGAATGCCGTAGCAGAACCCTATTAGGCGGTACACAAACAACACACTACCTTTCCTCCCTCGACCTTAACGCATTCTCTCTTACACACACGCACTTCACTATCGCACATGTTGGGAGACCGTTCAGGAGCTTAGAGCTCAGAAAATCCTCCCTGGGGCATTCCCCGCTGGGAGAGACGCCTAAACGTGAGAGGTTTGACAAAATTTCAATTTTTTTAGGTGGAATAGAATAATTCAATATTTTAACACGTTAATAGCGTGATTATTGTTTAAACGCTTTCAATAAAAAATACTACGCCCATTCCGCAAGGTCAAGAGATAATGAGAACACACTGGCTAAAAAAATAACTAGCTTAAGAAAAACGATTAAGGAAACACATGATTTGTTCACGTCCAAGAAGTCATATCTTTAGTTTGTAAGAAAGTTGATCAGTCTCTATAACTCTATAACATATTCTCTTTAAAAGAAGTTGAATTGAATATAGAGATATTCATTCATTTTATATTGCTCAACCTAAGTGATAATGGGCAGAGGTGCTCTTTGACGATCATTGTTTCAAACAAACTTATGGTATTTTGATCTTCTAAACTTCGTTCCTTTTGGACTTTTAATTTCAAATAAGTAGAACTAAAGCACTTTTTAGAGCTGTGATAGTTTTTAATTCCTTGCGTTATTTAAACAAAGTGTCTCTTTAGTCATTTTTGGAAATTGTTCATCTATACATGGGAGTAATCCCTTCGGCCAGGGGCTCAGCCGAAGTAACGGGGTTCCCAGACGGCCACCCATCCGGGAACACGTGGTGTCTCGAATTGCTTGGTTTCCGTGCCTTCACGGAGCTAAGATTTGAGTGGGTCGGCTAACGTCGCCGGATTTCCCCGAAACGACGTTATTGTAGGGGTACAAGTATTTGTTGATGTCCTGATGTCGGCGTGTGTCTTGCAGCGGAGGGCGGTCGGCGGTCGCAGCTGCAGCAGGGCGCGACGGCAGCGCAGCGGCGGCTGTTGGAGGCGTCGGGGGGCACGCACAACACGGTGACGGGCGCGGGGGCGGCGGGGGAGCCGGGCGGGCCAGCCGGCGCCCGCAGCCGCCTGCCGCCTTCAGCAGCACATGCGGCTCACCAGCCGCGGCACGCCCACCTCCACGCGCCGCAACACGACGCGCGCGGGGCGCGCCCGCTCCGCCGTCCCCGGCGCCGCCCACAGCCCACGCCCCCGCCGCGCTGGCCAGCTCAGCGTCGACCCGGGGCCCTGCGCGCCGGCGCCGCGGGCCCGACGCGTCGCTGCCGTCGCTGCGCAGCGGCACTCGGCGCCGCAGACGCCCGTCTCCGCGCCCTTCCGCAGCACGAGCCGCTCGCAAGATGGGCAACGGCTCGCCCCCCGCCACGCCCCCGCCCCCGGCCGCTCCGACGTGCCCAACGGCGACCCCGCGCCCAGCTGACGCGCCTCGCTGCCTCCGCGCTAGGCGCGCCGCCCCCGCGGAGGCCACCACTGCCAGCAACACGCGCGCCAAACACTGGCGGATAGTGTACGGCTCGAGAGCTGCACCCACGTGGCGATCTTCCTGTTGCGCACACGATAGCGCGCCGCTCGACAGGACAGGAGAAGATACTCGTCTTGGCAGATGAATGCAACAGCATGTCAGTCAGTCTTCTCCCTGTTCGATGATGTGGAAGAGGGATTGCAAACGTGCTATTGGCGAAGTGATGAACGCGGTACAAGCATGTGGCATACGTTCTCCTAGCTCTAAGGAGAATCTTGTCCTCGATTGACAAAAAATCTGATCTTGTGTTTCGAAAGGTAGCGGACAACAGAATATTGTCTGGAAAATCAAAATGTGTGTTTCTTGTCTAATCACTCAGCTGAGATCATTTGAGAAGTAGAAATTCTTTAGGATGCATTATAAAACACTACTAAAATCGTCAATAAGGCCAACTTCCGGATCATGTGAAATGCGTGTGCCCAATAAACACGATATAAAATGTGTAATCTCAACCATGAAGGTTCAATGCAATTCTTATTTTAGAAAATATTTAAAATAATTGAGCAACTGTATTTATTCTAAACAAAAATTGCGTAAGTATTTTGTATAAAATGAATTTTACAGAAAAATACGTATACTACTTGAAAAGCACACACTCTTGAATAGAAGTAGTATAAATGATAATGCTTTAAGAATTCAAGCGTCTATATGCGTTTATTCTAAAGAAACAAATGGAGTCAGATCAAAAGCATTGCCATTAATCACACTTTCAAATGACAATACAATTTGCATCGCATTTTCATTTGGAGCCCAATGGAATGTCTTATAAATTTAAAGAAGAAAACGAAGTGTATTTCTAATAACAAAACATTTGTGATAATACATACAAAAGAACTAAAACATAATTGTCACAGAATTTTATTTCCATTTAAGGAAAGTTGTATCTAGAGATTTTAAGGATCGGCAAAGAATTCTGCAACTTTTTGGAAAGGACATTTTTCAATTACTGTTTCGAGTACTGCAATATATGAACTTGTGTTGGGAAATTCCTTTTAACATCAGTTACTAGTCCACGGAAACATGGCTTTTCTCAAATGTATTGAATGTCGCACAGGCTAAGGCGACTGCACTATTCACTAACGAGGGCATGATCTCTGTCAATGACCCCGTCTCACTATAACTACGTAGTCGAGTTGGACAATGTCGAGAACGTTGAGAATTTTGGATCTCGGGGGAAAAGCTCTAATTGATTCTCAATCATGTATTACGTAAATAATGTATTATGATCAAAGTTGTCAGAAAAATACTGCTTCTCTACTGAAGAATCGAAAATTAATTACATAAGAATCATTTTAATTCCAAAAAGCCCTACTTGAAATGTGACGAGAAGTGCAAGCAAGTGCGTGCATCCGCTGCCTTTAATGAGCGCTTTCTATACTGCAGTAAAGATAATTTAACATGCGGATTATTCTTTAAGTAAGAGTTTTCGACAAGTCCTTAAAAGAAAAAAACTAGATAAGCGAATGGAAATCAACATTGTTTGAAAATAAAGAAAGAAAAACGGAAAATTTTGCTCAGTGAGACGTTCCCATGGAAATACATTTTTGTTTATGTGAGTGCTATTAGAAAATTGAGACAAGAATCATATCAATGTTGAAGAACACAACAGAATAAAATTAATATTTTCCAAAAAAGGAAAAATTAAGAATATAGGTAAATCACTTCAATTGACAAACAAGTTGAGCAGTTGCCAAGTAACGTTTTTAAATTATCTCGTTTTAATTTCTTGTACAGCTTTAAATAAGTTTTTAAAAGATAATACTTGTAAATGTTGAAAGATATGTGAGGCCTGTTATAACAAACCCCAGTAAGTCCACATTAAAAAAAGTTCTTATTGTTAAAATAAACGCTCAGATGCCTTTTGCGTATGAATATAATGTTATTGCTCTAAGTTCGCAATAACCACGTAAGTTAGTCTCTTATGCTAAACATCATTCAGTACCTAGTTTCAGGTAGATTCTCTCCTTCAAAAGAATTTTGAAACACTTGGGTCTCCGACCAATTATTGGAATATCATAATTCATTCTAAAGAAGTTGTTTTAAGACCGAATATCTATTCAGATCAACATTTTGACAATGAATGATAACTCATGAAAACTTGTGAAACTTATTTAATTATACAAAACTGTGCAATTGTACTAATTACATTACTTTTTAAACTTTGTGTATCTACGTACAAGTAGATTTCAAATATACAGTTCTGCCACAACAAATGGTACTGGTTGGTTGAGTGTGTACTCCATTTGTACAAAATTTACGTTCAAAATGAAGGTAGAAAAACGTCACAAAAAGGTTGTTACTTTCCCGCGTACTTTGGAAATATTTGTAGATGTCTTATCTGATTTGAAAACTGATTCTTTCAGCATATGTAATGGGCCGTGAGATGCAGAGGGTAAGCAGGGTTCGTGAATCGAGTTCCACGAGTCGTCTGGTGATCTCCAAAATATTGTAGAAAAGCAAGTAATTTCCCTACAGTGTAGTTTGTCGCTCCATTTTCTTGCATCCGTTGTAGTTCAAGGGGTAAGTTTCTCGCGGAGCAAAAAAATAAGAAAACTCTACAGGAGTACGAATAGTTATGAGGTCTGTGTTTCACTTATAATTTACTGTTAGTGGATTCCATCAAATCAACATAACGCTCAACCCGGGTTAAGCGACGCTCGTTGTAAACTACGCGTTGGGGGTTTTTGCACCTGTTGGTGAAGTCCGGCGTTCTGTTACTCCCTTCGTTGAAATAAAATGGACCTTCTTCATTTATGACGGGTAACTTTTAAATGAGAGCTGCAATTCTTGTGTTATTAGGTGTCTCCGTATTAAGCTGCTGCTCGTAATTCTTTAACAAGAGACAAACTTGGCTCATTCCGATGTTCTACTCCGTGTGAACAAAAATAATGTTCTTTAGTAACCAGATGGCAGATGCTGCTCTGCCGTCGTGAGATCCAAAATATGAAATCAAAACAACAGTAATATTCGTGTATGTAATGGTATAACGTATTCGTTATTTTTCACCAACACTTTTCCGTTAGAAATGACGCTCCGTTAACTTTGACGAAAGAACGTGTTGATTTTTTCTCCTCGTACAGACGTTGGCAACAATATCGTGTTACAACACGGTTCCGCATTGGCTGTTGCACGTGTTGACTACTGATGATGTATGAACTGTTACATTCCAAAAAGTTTGGCACATGATGAAAATTACATATTTTCTCATTTACGAAGAAATACATTTTTCGATTTCTGAATCATTCTAATTTTTTTTCCTCCGGAGACAAAATTGGCACATGTGTGCACGGTGCTATCATAACTGTATCTCCAGGAAAGTTCTATATTCTAAAAAAATCTCGCATTATTGGTTAGGCACCCCATGGTAATACACATACT